TGTGCGTGTGTGTGTTTGTGTGTGTGCGTGTGTGTGTGTGCGCGTGTGTGTGTGTGTGTGTGTGTGTGCATGTGTGTGTGTGTGTACTCTATATGTTCTAATATTAATTCATGTTTAATAATTTTCAGTTAATGGGGCAACTGAAGAAAAAACAAAATAGAATTATAATTGCATCTAAGTATAATGAGAATTGTAATTTACTTTGAATAATCTATTTTCATTTTACCAGTCTAGACTTTTGTGTTTTTATCATTTTTATTATTTATTCATCATTAAAGGTGTATCTTTTTATACGTTTATAATTACAGAGACATTTGAATTTTACAATTTGTATTATTTATTTATAATTAAAGTTATTTTTTTACATTTATAATTACATATAGTGTTAATTAAAATGGCATTGCAATGGTTTCATTTTCCATTAAATTCATTTAGATTTTGCAGATGCAAATCTATTAGTATATTTTCCTTTGCAAAGCTTCGCATAGTACATTTAATTAATCGTTTTTATATATTTATATAAACTTCATTATGTTTTCTGTGATGAAGATGTGTGTAGGTAATTTTGCAGCAGTGTGTGTGTGTGTGTGTGAGAGGGAGAGAGAGAGAGAGTCTGCTGTCACAAGGAAACATGATGCTATAGTTTCCTAAAAATAACACGCATGCAAAAAGGGGAAAAAAGAGCGAGAAGGAAAAAGAGACCTTACATAAGACCTGACTGCTGCTCTACACCTCCTGCCTCAAGTGCTTTTCTCCTGCTCTCTTTCTCTCACACACGCGTGCACACACACACCCTTTCTCTCTCTGTTTGTCCTAATTCTTGATTTGGCCACAGGATGGCACCATGTAATAGAAATGAAAGCTTGATTTCTAGATTTCTACTAACACATCACCTTTATGACCCAAAAGATTTTCTTCTAATAATGATGAGAATGATTGTTTTGCAGGCTTGGGGGAACCATCTCAGCTTACAAAATCGTTCCCGATGAAATCGATGAGATCAAGGTACGTTTCAAAATTCAGGTAACGGGAAAATAAAATCAAACAAAATCTCAGTTCACTTAACACCACAGTTTAAAAGTTTGGCGTCAGTAGGGGGAAAAAACAAATGCTTTTATTCAGTGAAAATGCATTAAATTGACATTTATAAATGTAACAAAATATTTCTATTTCAGATAGATGCTGTTCTTTTCAACTTTCCATTCAGTTTTCAACATTGATAATAATCAGAAATGTTTCTTGAGCAGCAAATCAGCATATTAGAAGGATTTCTGAAGAATCATGTGACACTGAAGTATGGAGTAATGATGCTGAAAATTCAGCTTTGATCACAGGAATAAATTACATTTTTTATATATTTTCAAATAGAAAACAGTTATTATAAATGGTAATAATATTTCACAATTTATATTTTTTTCTGTATTTTTTAAATAAATCAAATAAATACAGCCTTGATGAGCATAAGAGACCTCTTTCAGAAACATGTAAATGTGTGTGTTTACTGACGTTTGTTTCTTTTGTCTGGTTCAGGAGACTCTGATCGACTGGTGTGATGAGAAAGAGTTAAACCTGATTTTGACCACTGGTGGCACTGGCTTTGCTCCACGGGATGTCACGCCTGAGGTTGGTCCTGTGCTACATACAGTATATGTGTGTGGAGAGTGAGATGTGTGTTCCTGCCTAAAATATTCTCTTACAGACCTCAAAAACTCTGACCATAAGCCATCATTTATCAAATTAGAACCATGCAAAATAGAAGCATTTTCACTAGTGGTCTCAGATTTTGGACTCCACTATATTTCTCAGCAAAGGGAAACTCTGGGACTCTCTCTCTCGACCCATGAGTCTCATCAATACTCCTCCTTTGATGTTTTCCCTCGTTCTTCTCCCTCTATCCCTCTAATGATGTTTGAAGTGTCACTCAAGGACAAAGAACACACACACACAGAGACACACAGATGATTATTTTGTGCAGTGAGTGATACTGTAGGATCACCCAGGGTTTTAATGTGACCAGCCCCTGTTGATCTGTGACATTCCCGTGAAGCTTCTCTCCAAGAGGAACACGGTATTGCTCAGAGGTTGCTCTTCAATAGCTCAGAAGACATAATGTTCTTAGTAATGTTTCATTTCATGAAATATATAAATTATTAACTTTGTCTCAAGAGAATTAAAAACAGACATATAAGACAGTTGTTGACATACAATAAGTGATGCTCTAATGTGGATAACAGCTCAGATCATTTCATGAAAAATGTTTCAGTTCATATTTGAGATCTCTGGTTTTTGATTGCAATCTTTGGTATCTTGGCACATTTGACCACTGTTTGAGACTCCTTCATTTAATCTCAGCCGGTCTAGACATATTTGACATATTAAAGAGACATAATTTGTCCTTTTTCTTTCTCTCTGTCGTCCTGTCTGTCTGTCCAGGCCACTAAAGAGGTGATCGAGCGGGAAGCTCCAGGGATGTCTCTGGCCATGCTGGTGGGCTCTCTGAAAGTCACTCCTCTGGGAATGCTCTCCAGGTCTCACTTCAACACATCCTCAACATGCTTGTCTCAGTGTAGAAGAACTTTGACTTTCATTCATAATTATACTCATCAGGATATTCAGAGAAAACTGATCCCAGATCAGCCTCTCAATCAAAGACATTGACTTCATTGAAATCAGACTTTCATTGCCTCGTACATAAGCTTCCAGTAGAGAAATATAACAGCTAGATACAGAATTATAGGAACATTTTCAGAATATAATAATAATGCAAATATCAGAATTTTATGGAAGCCTGTTTCTGCCATGGAATGAAAAAAAAAACGTTGTCTAACAATTCTGACTCTTTTTTTTTTTTCTTTTTCAGAATTGCGAGAAAAAAGTCCAAATTGAGAGATAAAAAATCGCAATTATCCGTGGCGTAAACAAGCTTCTGTGGAATACTATTATATTCAGAATTACAATTTACAATTATTTCCTGTTTGCCCACAAATAATAATAATAATAATCACTATGTATACATTACTGTTAAAAGTACTGTTTAATTTTTTTTATTTTTAAAAGAAGTCTCATACTCAAATACAGTAAAATATACAAAAATACAATAAAAACTTTAAATATTGTGAAATATTATTACAAATTAAAATAGCGGATTTCCACTGTAATATACTGTAAAATGTAATTTATTCCTGTGATCAAACTGAATTTTCAGCATCATTACTCCAGTCTTCAGTGTCACATGATTCTTCAGAAATCATTTGAATATTCTGATTTGCTGCTTAAGAAACATTTCTGATTATTACCAATGATGAAATGATGTCTCTTTTGAATTGTCTTGATTTGTGTGTGTACAGACCTGTGTGTGGTATCCGAGGGAAAACTCTCATCATAAATTTGCCAGGCAGTAAAAAAGGTTCACAGGTAAGAATCATTTTTTTCTTTCATTAATTGTGTGGTTAGTCGTATGTCTCAGTACTGGTCTGCCAGTATGTACTCCATTAGCCAAAACGTTTAATGTAGTACTTCTAGTAATCCAATTCATATATAATAAATGATAAATGGGAGTGTTTTGCACATAAAGTTCAAGTTTAATTCTGTTTGTGTACTTGCTTGTGGTCTCCATAAAATATACATTAATGGGTGCTGGAAATAGAGATAAACATGGATAATTATAGAGCTCTTTTTGGATCAGTTCAGAATAGTTTACTTAAGGGTCATAATTTTTTCATTGCTTGGCCAATTTATGAGAAACACCATGGACGGAGACACTGTTTGTACAACTTTTTTTTAAAAATTGTACTTTACTATCAATTTCAATAAATCACCTATAATAGCAGTTTATCCCAAATATGGTATTATAATAGAGATACTATTATAGGTTTTATTAATATTTTGAATTGTATTTTATTTTTATATTTTCTGTTTTCATTTTAATTTAAGTTGTATAAATTTTGTTGTGTTTTGTCATTTTTATTAGTTTTTCTAATATGTCTATTTCCATTTTTATTTTAGTGTTAGTTATTTTATTTCATGAAGGTAAACTAAACAAAAATTAGATATGTTGCCTTTTTTTAATATATTATTTTGTTTTAGCTCAAATTTATTTTATTTCAAATAACAATTTTTTATGGTTTTAGTTTTAGTTAGGCCTTACTATAACAACGCTGTTTTATCCCATACAAAAAAGTACTTCCATGGTAAATGTTTGATAGTGATTTTAAGTAGGATTGTATATTGAGCAAGATTTGAATTCAAAAATTGGGTAGCGGCGCCTTTTTAAGATTTTTAATGCCTTTTTAACATTAAGGGGTGATAAATTGATAAATGTATGTATATATATATATATATATGTATATACATTCATTTCTCAAGCTCTTTGATTTATTCTTCCTTGCATTTGTGTCCTGCAGGAATGCTTCCAGTTCATCCTGCCTGCTCTCCCACATGCCATCGACCTGCTCCGAGAAGCTGTGGTCAAAGTGAAGGAGGTGCCCAATGAGCTGGAGGACCTGCCCTCGCCTCCACCGCCTCCGTCCCCGCTGCCCACCAGCAGCCCGCACTGCCAGACCGAGGACAAGGGCGTGCAGTGTGAGGAAGAGGAGGAGGAGAAGAAGGACAGTGGTGTGGCCTCCACAGAGGACAGCTCCTCCTCGCACATCACCGCCGCCTCCATCGCTGCCAAGGTAACCCTGTAGCTGTAGTTATATATAAAATAGTTATGCTCTACAAAAGTGTTTCTCACATGACTCTGTTGGACGTTTGCAGGTGTTCCGTTTGTCTTCATTCCCATCATGATATTGTGTGTCATCTTCATGTGTGCTGAAACGTCCTCTGGTGTGAGTGAATATCACGACATTATCTTCACATCATTTGTGTCAGACTCTGTTCCGTGTCTGTGTGTGTTTTCTTCCCCCACTTGCGCCATGTTTATGATTATGTCCTTATTTGGCCCTCATACTATTTTCAGTGTACTACGATCTGGAACACACTAAATAGTATGCAGATTAGGACGTATGCAAAATGTGATTAGAAACGTGAAATAAACATGTTGCACCATAAGTTCAGTGGAAAGAAATGCTTTCAAAACTTGCAAAATTTGACTTTTTACATTATATAATGCACAAATAATAAGAGAGCAAATGATTGGGTGTTTATGATTTTAATAAACATCCTTCTTTCATGTCTCAGATTCCCGACTCCATCATCTCACGGGGTGTTCAGGTCCTTCCCCGTGACACGGCATCTCTGAGCACCACGCCATCCGAGTCGCCACGTGCCCAGGCTACCTCCCGCCTCTCCACCGCTTCCTGTCCCACCCCCAAGGTGAGAGCGCCTCACTTCCTGTTTCCTGTCCCCGCACTGTTCACTTCCTGTCTGCTGCTCCTCTGCCTCCCCACCTCGCTCGCCCTGCTGCCGATCTCCACGCTCACCTCACCCCAAAACTCCTGTCAAAGTCCCATCTATGTGTGGATTTCACAGGTTTCTGTTTCATATTTACGATATCAAAGAATTCTGTTTAGAACACCGCAAAAATAATTTTCTTTCTTAGTAATTTTGTCTCGTTCTCCAGTACAAATACCTAAACATTCTTCAGTCAAAATACATTTACTTCAAATCAAAATATGTATTGTTTTCTGAAAAATTAAATGAGATATGCTTAAAACAAGACAAAATATCTGCCAGTGGGGCCAGAAAAATAAACTGACTGCTTTTTCTTTCTTAAGTTGCAAAGAAATTAAGGTTTTTGAGGAAAACATTCCAGGATTTTTCTCCATATAATGGACTTCAATGGTGGCCAACGGGCTGAAGGTCCAAATTGCAGTTTCATTGCAGCTTAAAAAGGGCTCTACACGATCCCAGCCAAGGAATAGGGGTCTTATCTATTGAAACGATCAGTCATTTTCTAAAAATAAAATGTTAAATTTATATCCTTTTTACCACAAATGTTCATCTTGCACTAGCTGGATTCACTCATTACGTAGTCACGCTGGAAAGGTCACGCGGAAGTACGTCCCAGTGTTTACAATGCGAACGTGCAAAGAAAGTCAAACGCCCTTTACAAAAAAAAGGTAAGATAATGATGTCGGACGATTTTGAAGTTGGAGGAGGAAATGAGATGGAGTTTTTCGCCCTACCCCATCTTTTTTGAACTGGAGCACACAGACGAAGAGCTAACCGTGCATGACCTTTCCAACGTGATTACGTCATGCGTGATGTCGTAGAAGTGCATCGCGGAGCTAGTTAGTGTGATTTTACATTTTTTAAAAAACATAATTTAGAAGTAATATGCTATTTTCTATCCTGTTTTTGTGCCTCTCTGCAGAACGGTCTGCTTTTATAAGCGTGGGGGGGCATTCAAGACTCGCAAGTAAACGCCCATTGCTAGGATTGGCTAACAGTTTTGTTTATTAAAATAACAGATGAATGAATGAATGAATGAGGCATCTATATAGCACTTTATTGTGTATTGCTGTACACCCAAAGCGCTTTACAATCATCATGAGGGGGGTCTCTCCTCAACCACCACCAGTGTGCAGCATCCACTTGGATGATGCGACGGCAGCCACAGTATAGCGGCGCCAGTGCGCTTCACCACACACCAGCTACAGGTGGAGAGGAGAGAGAGATAGAGCCAATTCAGTGGATGGGGATTATTAGGAGGCCATGGTTGACAAGGGCCAGTGTAGGGAATTTGACCAGGACACGGGGGATACACCCCTACTCTTTACAAGAAGTGCCATGGGATTTTTTGTGATTTTTAGTGATATGGCTGCTGTGACGTATTCTGAATACAACATGGGTCATTTAGGTTAAAAACCTATAAACAGTCAGTATATATCAAACGGTATGGAACAGACAATGCAATAGTGGTAAAAACATGTTTCCTCACACTTCTGTGCTGCGACATTACTGTTGGATCCATTCTAGTCAGACTCAGCGCTGCATCGTCTTTTACTTTCAGGCTCTCTGAAAAGCCTGCATCACACTGTCTTGTTTAAAAATGAATCTGTAGCAAAGTAAAGCAAACAGACAAACAAAAAGTGTTTCACTGACGCAATCTGGAGCTCTTTACTAATTTTACCCCGTGTTTACACTGGACGCGACTATAGACAACAGAACCCATTATGATCGGTGATTCTGTCTAAACTGGATGCGGCACGGATCGACACAACAAATCCCCAACATTAAACTGATGTCCCGCTCTATTTCTGACATACAAGCATTCGCGCCGCTTCTGACCTGAAAGAGAAATTGATTTGTGTCATGGCGCAGCAGCGCTCGCGTCTGATCTAGATATGTTAGAATCACAACAAAGGCAATTCAAAGATTATTTTACACAACTTACTACACAGTGTCTTGTGATCTTGTAATGTCATCTGCATGGTTCTGTTGATGGAGTAATCCTGTATTTGCGTCTCTCTAATATTTCCTCTCCTCCTACTACAAGCATGTATCAGTGGGTGGGGCTTCTGCGGAGGCAGTGCTTAGCCACATTATTACGTCATAAAGTGGCACGCTCCAAAACGAGTTGTCTTCTGAGCTTGGTTTCAATATAAGCTGTTTTTAAACTAAGGAGAAAGTTTTGAGTTTTGAAACTTACAGGATGTTTTTATAGTACAATGACTTGTTATGTGTCAAAAGACCAAGGGAAATTTGATTTCTCCGTTCATGACCCCTTTAATTGGTTAGCAGTAAGTTCCCTTACTATATATGGTGTAAAACTATAATAAATCTAACAGTACATTTCAAATTAACAGTTTTTAGAAGGGAAAAAATAATTTACAGTACAAAACCGTAAATTGACAGTTCCAGAATTTGCTGTGTGACAGCTCACCATTTTTCTTTTGCCGGTGCGACTAAATTTTGTCACACTGGCATTGCCTAACAAATAAGCGCTGCAATTTCTGTTGCAAATGAGAAACATCAAACGGCAAACGAAACAAAAGCGTAATGAAACCGTTTATCAGCTTGGACCAATTATTGAGCACAGCGCAAGAAAACTGGTCCGAGCTCTGAATAGGTTTACTCGGGAACCAGTATTGATCTCGCGACACTTACTGAATTCGTTGAATTTCGCCGCAGAATGAATAAGGTTGCTGTGAGATCTAGTGAGAAGCATTCAAATCTTCACAGAATTCTCTGTGAATATGATACAGATGTAAAATTCAAACAGCACTGACATAGAAAACCAGAAGTAGTAATGCTAACTATAACCATGATATCGTGGCAAAAATAGTCAAAAGTTATTACATTATTCATTTCAGGGTTTGTACAACCTTTTGAGAGAAGTTCAAGCACTTTTCAATGACTTTCAAGTATTTCACACAACTACTTACAGCACTTTAAAGCTCTAAAAATGATCAAATTTAAAAAAAAATTTAATTTAATGGGATGACCAAAATTTACTTTGCGATAAACAAACACTTATTAAATCTTAAAAAGACATCAAATTACGACTGTAACCAGTAGATGGCAGCAGAGGAGCACTTACTGGCTTATTACTCATTCATTTCTATTTTTTGCTTTATAAAATGAGATTATAAAATAAAATATAATAAAATATCAAATCATCAAGAAATCAAATTTTGTCAAAGTTTTGCACTTTTTTGTAAATGCAGAAAGAAAAGTCACAAAGTGCTTTGAAAAACACAAACTTTTCTTCAATTTGCGACTGAATCACATAAAGCAAGTAAAGAGTGCTCCTTTTATAATCACTCAAGTTGTTGGTCAGTTCAGTATAATACTATAGAAGAATGGTACATTTAATAAGAGTAGTATATATATACATTTTCCATATAAAAATTAGATTTTACACATGTTACTGCTATTAATAAAGTAAATGTTCTATGCTTCCCAACTCAAGTTCAGTGCTTTACTGTCAAATGGGTATTACCAAGAAATAAGTTAGAAATTATTTAGAAATTAGTTCTCTTGTGACAAACGTGGGATAAAAAGTGTTAAATTAATTGACATCTCTTTATAAACATCTATTTGACAGAAAATTAACATATGCAGTTATATGCACTGACTTTCCTGAACATGGAGCATTTGGAATTATGCTTTTATCCAAGCGACTTACATTGCATTCAAGCTATACATTTTTTGTACAATTCATGGGAATCCCTTCCCTGGGAATCGAACCCAGGATCTTGGTGTTGTTGGTGTGATGCTCTACTGTTTGAGCTGCAGGAATATGACTAACCTGTAACTTTGACCCACATGGCTCAGGACTCTCACCCAAGCCGGGCGAGCAACTCTCGTTCGTCAGCTCATATGTCACAATACTTTCTCGACCCCACTGTGTGGATGTGGTGGTTGTCATGGGAGCGGGCGTTGCCGTGGAGACTGTGCTGCACTCATATGAGTGAGAGAGTTTGTACAGGTGTCAGTTTGACAAAGATGCAAAAATCTGTAATTTAGTCGCACTCATGTCATTGTCAAGTCAAGTCAAGTCACCTTTATTTATATAGCGCTTTGTAAACCAATATGACTTTCATTTTCCGTGTTAACCCTGCTCTTCTCTATATTATGAAAACATTTAGTGACCAGGGGCTGTTGAGCTCCAAAAACTAATAAAAACACTATAAGACTGTAGTCCATATAACTTATGTGCTATATTGGAAGTCTTCTAACCATTCAAAAACTTTGTGTCACAAACAGACTTAGTCATTATTAGCTAATAAAAATATATAACCTGACACCTGAAACATTCGTAGGTGTGTTGGATGAAAGTACATTATAAACTAAGAAATACATAAATTTGGCACACTACTCCATCATCACAAAAAATCATTATTAATTAGCAATGTCTCAGTCAATCAAACTTCCACATATGCAAATGATCAACAAATGTAAATGTATATTTTACATTTTATTGTTTTATTATATTTATTTATATATTTTTAGTCATTATTATTAGAAATATTTAAATAATAATTTTAGCAATTAAATTTGAAACATTATTACAAATTATCAGCTAAAATTTCCCTCTGCCAATCCATTTTTGCATTGCATTTTTAACATCTAGACTCCAGTTTTATTTTGGTATCATTGAGACTATATTAATATTTTGAATCAGTTTTCATTTTTATATTTTCTGTTTTCATTTTTATTTTAGTTAACATTTTAGTACGTTTGCTGTGTGTTTTCAACGTGATCTCATGATAATTCGTATGTATTTTATGTAAAATGTGGTTCTATAAAACGTACATTTACTTACGTTTTTACAGGCACTAAAACGTACAAAACTGACGTATTGACGACACCTAAAAATGAATCCTTGTGAATATTGAAATCGCAGCATTAATTTTATTAGTTTTTAG